AAAAAAAAAAAAAAAAAAGGACTCAGAGGGATCCAGGCAATAATGTTTTCGTGAGTCTATGTTTAACACTGGATTTATATTTTTATACCATGTTACCTCTTTAACTCAGGGGTACTGTATTGGCCACCCAACATGCAGCCTTCTCAAACATTCCCTTAGTATTTTTTTGGCCAACCTTGGCTTAACAGTTTAGAAAACCAATTAGTTTATGTAGAAAATGAAGATTTTATCTGAATGATTAGATTTTTTAGAAACCTGTACTTGTTAAGAGTACATTTTCTTTTCATCTCCTTTGTGGATTTTTTTTAAGGACATAACATTAGGATTAGAGCCATAGTTAATGCTCTGACAGAAATTCATAACTGACAAAGAAATTTGGCTATGTATACCAGTTTAACATAATAGTCTATCATTAATTCTTGGGACTCTCAAATTATTTTGGAACACAATGCATACATAGACATACAAATACATAACTTATTTATACATAGAACTCAAATATAATACCAAGAAAACTAGAATTACTCACTTTGACAATGCTTTCTATTTTTATCTAACATATAAAGAATAATTTTGATTGGTTTAACAGTTCCCTTTTGGATGTCTCAGGGGCCCTCTGTAAACATCTAAGAGTTACTTTGAGGTCAAAGATCCTCTTAGCACTAAAACTAAAGCCAGAAAAAGCTAGTCACGATTTTTTTTTTAGATATCTACTATGTAAAATGTAACAAACACATAACACATAAATACTAGCTGTTTCATTAAGCCAACCATATTAAGAGAAATATGATGTTGCTTGACTAATAAAAACCTAGACAAAATGTATCTTGGAAATTGTGAAGACTTTTACTTATTAATCTTTTTTAAAATTATATTTGAAGCCAATTTATTTACTAAAGTTAGATGAACTTGAAAAGCATTTAAACCAATTTGTATGAGCGCTCTTTTTATAAACCAAATTGAATAGAATTCTCTAAGGCCCTTTTTACACAGACATACAACATGTAGTACATAACATGACATATTACATGTATAGATGTACACACACATTAGGACTATAAGAGCCAATTTCCCTGGGATTACTTTGACATTGATACTCTTTTGAGTAACCTCTCTTTTTGAAATTTTTAATTATACACTTAAGGACGGTAGAAAACGGTAGAAATTTAACTTTTTGTTGTCTATACCATCAGAGTTTTTACAACACAGATATTCTTGATATTTCTACCCCTTTTAAGTGTTATATTTTCAAAAGGCCCTCTTAGCTTTTGGATGGAGAGTTTGATGCCATAATCATAATTTAACCTCCCTCTGTTGGGGATGCTTCTCTTAAGGGCAACATGGCCTGAGGAGTTGGGGCTTTGCTCTTCCCTCATTTCCTCGGATCTGCTCCAGGTGTAGGGCAGTGAGAGAAGGGCTGAGGAGGCTGCCTCCTGTGGCCTCTTGTTGCCCTCCCTAGGCTGATGCCTGCTAGGGTTATAAGGGGGAGGAAGATCCAACCCCTCAGGATCAGACTGCAGGATAGGGGACTTTTGTTCTCTTTGGCTGAGGCTCTTTCTGTGGGCCAATTACAAGAATACAGTTCCCTGTTTTTAAAGCACAACTTCTCAGCCAGGGTGGGGGCCGCTGGACTATGGCTATTGGTAAGGATGTCCAGGTCCACCCGATTCTCCTGTGGCAACTTTTCAAACAGCTTGTACTTCTTTATCAAAGGATCCTGTCTCAGGCCATCCCACCCAAAAGTGGGTCATTCAATCTCATACAGGGTTCTCAAGCTCTGTTTGAAAGCTTGCCACCATAATCATTCTTCTACAAAGGCCTCATCCAAGTGGTATAGCATGCAGCTAAGGGGAGTCTTAAGAGAGCTATTTTTTGCCTCCCATAACTTTTAGAATTAAGACAAGAAAGGAAACAAACATCTCAACCTTGTCAGAATGGAACTCTTGAAGAACCCCTTGGTCCGTGAGATCAGTAACCCATTGTTCAATATCCTCCACTGAAGAAGACGGTGGATAGAACCAAGTAATAATCTCTAAGAGAGTGCAGAGAAAAATAAGTAAAATGACAGAAAAGGCAGAAGAAACCCATAAAAGTCCTGAAATTTCCAGGGGTTCAAGCCCTGCCAGGGCCCCCAGCCCTAAGTTTTCTCAAACCGTCTAAGGGCCAAACTTCTAGCCCCCAGATTCCAAGCATGTCTGGTGAAACCTAAGTAGGAGTTCTGTAACTGCGTCCAGTTAGCCCTGAATCCTACCAACCTGCAGAAGGGCAAACGGCCCCTCAACCCAGGCTGGATTTCAGGGGGCCTCTCAGGCCATCAAACTCTGCCTGGGACTCTCACCCTGACTCGTGGCCCCGTCTAAGGGCCAAACTTCTAGCCCCCAGATTCCAAGCATGTCTGGTGAAACCTAAGTAGGAGTTCTGTAACTGCGTCCAGTTAGCCCTGAATCCTACCAACCTGCAGAAGGGCAAACGGCCCCTCAACCCAGGCTGGATTTCAGGGGGCCTCTCAGGCCATCAAACTCTGCCTGGGACTCTCACCCTGACTCGTGGCCGACCCCTTACTCACCGGTTTGTCTCCACAGAAGCAAACAGAAAAGGACAGGAACACTCAGAGAAATGCCTCTGGAGGTCTTAGAGTAAAACTCCACAACCTTTTGGAGGAGCAGTCAGTGTCTCTTGTCAGTTGACAACAATCCTGAGAAGAGCTCCGGGGCCCTGGGAGATTCCAGGTGGCGCCTCCCCTAGAGCAGTCTCCAGGCAGTTGGCAGCCAAGCCAAACGAGGCCACTCTCCTTAGGATGCCTCACCCATGTACCAAACAGATACAGATCTTGCTGGGGCCTCCAAATATTATAGTCTTCTCAGTGAGAAATAAGAGGACATCCAGACACAACCAAATTCACTGGAGTTTATTGATTAAGCAGGCAGCATACGGGGGAACTCATGTCTCTCAAAACCCCACAGCCCCGAGTGTAAGGTGAGCCCCGCTTATAAAGGCGAAAAATATACAATCATGTCGGGGATGACGTGATGATTCACGAGGGTAAGGTGCTGTGGGCTCGAATGGGGGAAAGGGTAGGGGTAGGGTTTTAACAATGTAAGAGCAAAAGCACAGAACAGAAGCAAGAAAAGCAGGTTAATCATTCTTCAGGGTTTGTTCGGTCTCTGCCTAAACACAATAGAATCTTAATGGTCTTCAGGGCTCAGGGCAAGGGGTCTGGTGACTACATCACTAAGGAACATTTTAGGGCAGTTAGGAGGAGTGGGGTTTAGAGACAATAGGAATGTTGATTACTCTATTTACTCTTGGGCACAGAGGAGAGGGCAAGTTTCCAGTCATAGGAATCTAAGAGTTTATAATGGAAGCGCTCCTCCAAGATGGAGTCACTCTTACTCTATACCCCACTTCTCTTGGAGTCGCTCCTGCTTCAGTGGGGCCAGGGGTATCAAGGTTTTCTGTGGGATGTGGTTGCATGGAGTGTTCTCATCTAGGGCTTTTTCCTCTCCTGATCCTTAGCCAGAGTGAACAACTCTACTGAACCTTTCTTGCATCTCTTGCCATTTGCAGGGGACTGACTTCACTTCCACTGGAAGCTGAAGAACGAGGCTTGGGAGCTTGCCATGTGCCCTCCTCAGTCCTGAATGCCTGGCTGACTGCCCTGCCCCTTCCCTCTGAGTCCTGTGTGTGCTGTACCTATAACATCAGGATTTTTGTTCTGTATTAGGGAAAAACAGGGATGAGCATGTCAGCTTCTCTTCCTGAGAGCACAGCCTTGATTTGCTTTGCCCATGAGCTGTGCTGTGGGCACCCATGCTCAGGACTGCAGAGTAGGCCTCTCTGGTCTCCTAGACTTGCTGGTTTCTCCCTGCCATCCTCGGGATGAATCTAGTCCCTCCTGCCTGTGGCAGGAAGAACTGGAAGAGACATTCACTGTGGGCAGGGCCCCTCGTGTCCCCTAGGTGAGGCAGAGATACCAGGATCTGTGTGCAGGTCTCATTGGCTCTACATGTGGAAGGTTCTGGCATACACAGGGGTCGTCTTGGAGTTGTGGCAGCTGTAGGAACTCAGTCTACAATGCAAAGGCCTCAGGGAAGACTGGAGGCCATGCAGAAGGCTATGCTAGGGTCCCATGGCATTCCTTGGGCAGTGCCAGAAGCCCTGTGCAGGGCCACATCAAGCCATGAGGGGCTTCATGGGGGCTTCTGGGCAGAAGGAGCACCTCAGCAGGGTCATGGGACAGGGCAGTGATGTGAGCTTGGCTTTTCTGTTGCAGTTCCTCGTTTACTTTGTGTACTTCCTGGTGCTATGTGGCATCTACTTCACGGGGGCCATGTTGGACCTGCTGCACTACTTACGGCAGAAGCATCACCAGCCCCTGCCCCTGGCCCCGGAGCTGAGGAGTCCTGCAGAAAAGACTATGCAAGCACTGGGTCTGCAGGACAGGGACCTCAGTGGCCTGCAGCCATTGGCTCCACCACCCCTGGAGCACAGCATGGAGGACAGCACGAGGGCCCCACAGCTGGCCTCCCCAGAGGAAGATGGCCAGGACAAGGCCTGACCCACTTGGCCTGCCGGATTCCTGACCCCAGCAACAGCTCCGTCCTGATCCAGCCTGGGGCCGAGACACGCAGACGAGTGCCAGCAAGCCTGTTCCGCAGTGTACACATTCCAGTGTGCAGAATGTTGAGCCAGTGACTCGGGGGCCCACAGGGTGCCTTTGTGGTAACCTCCAAGTGTTCATGCCTCACAGCTGTGGCCCCAGCCTCAGCCAAGAGAGGGCTTTGGCTATCCGCAGCCCTACCCCTCAGCCCTGCTGGCGCTCAGGGCAGCTACCTGGCCATGGCTCACACTGGCCACTACAGCTGTGGTTACCTCTTCCTATGGCCCTCAGGCCCTCTGCCTTCGTCCCTGTGGGAGGCAAATCCTGTTTCTGGGATTGGTGAGGTGCCTGCCTCCAGAGACACTTCCCTCAGGGGGCCCCGTGTCCTCCAGGGCAGGGGTGGACACCCAGTTCCCAGGCCCAGGGCTAAACTGTGACATTGCCTGGTGCTTGCCTTTTTGAGCAGTGTACAGATGTGTTTTTAAATTGATGGAGTGAGGAGCCGCGTTTGGCCTCTCCATCTGTGGAAGATGCTGGTCTCAGGTGGTGCAGACTGTCCGTCAATGATAGTGGCAGCCCTGGTTCTAGGAGCCCTCATTATCACGTGGATCACTGCTGCCCTACAGGTAGCAAGGGGTGGCTGGGGCTGACCGTATGCTCATGCCAGCCCAGAGGGGATTTGCCCTGGGTCACCAAGGATGTGTGGCTTCAGTGTGAGCTGACCTTGCCCAAGAGGGCCCCTGAAGAGGTCTGCCTTCTTAGGTTTACACCAGGAGTCTGTCCAGTGGCCTCAGCACTTCCCTGTGAGCTGGAGACAGTCCGTGGTACGATCACTTTCCCAGGTACATTAAACAAACCATGAAACCTGAGTGCAAGAACGAGTTCTTGTGGCTGGTCTGGGCCTGGTGGGGAGGGTAGTGGTCAGGAGGCTGGAAAGGGGGTCCCAGCATCCCTCATGGCCTTCCTCAGGGGCAGCTGGGAACATCTCCCCACTGTTTGGGCCCAGGGGAGATGCTATTCCAAGCCAGCTTAACACTGAGGGTGGGAAGAGGGTCAGCTGGATGAGGAGCCTCGAGGTGCCCTGGGCTGAGGTCCAGCTTGAGATCGCACCTGGAGCGTCCTGGCCCATGGTGCTAAGCAGCAGAGCAGAGACCCTGCCACAGCTGTTGTAGGAAAGGGGGAAGCACCTGGCCCTCTTTGGACTTTGGGATTTCACAGGACATGGAGGTGCATCTGGGCTGCCTGGGCCACGGGCTTCAGGAGGGCATGGAGCATGACTACCCCTGCCCCCAACTCTAGCCCACAGCCCAACTGTGAGCCACAGGCCACTGACTTGCCTGCTCTCCAGAGCACTCCCATCCGTGTCAACCCAGCTGCCTACTCCTTTGCCTCCTCCCTGCAGCCGCCTCATGCAGCCCGCAGCATTTCTGTTGTCATGTGTCCTGCCCTTGGACCTGTAGCATTCTGAAGAGAGCTAGTCCCTGCCCCATGTGCTGTGCACAGTGCTGGGGAGATGCCTCTTAGAATCCAGCAGGAGGCACAGCTGCTGTGCAGAGAACATGGGTGCGAGTTTGGAGTGCCAGAGAGCAGGCCCACTGACATGGCCTACAAGGACTGCTGGCTGCCACGGAGCGGAGGTAAGGAAGGGAGCCCGTGGCGCATATCCATCTGTGGCACATCCACACACACTTAAGTAACTCAAGCACACATATGCACACATATACACCCAGGCACATTCATGTGTGTATACACACATACCATGTACACACACGCATATACATACACACTTGTGCATATACCTGTGCACATACATACCTACATATGTGCACGCCCATGCTCTTGCAGCAGGACCTGTGAACTGCAGGGGCCAGTAACAAAGGCCCCATGGACTCATTTGGATGATTTTGTTCTTGTGACAGTGAAGGCCGCTTGCAAACCAAGTGTCAGTGTAAAAGGTCATTTTTATTTAGAGTTTGAAATGGCTTCACATCACATGGTTACAGAACCTGATCAGACAGCAGGTCCTGAGGCAGGCATGTGCTGTTGCAGGGGCCTTGAGCACACATGATCCAATACAGAACCAACCAGACTTTGGGGTGCCTGTTGGCTTCCCCAGAGGTGCCTGCATGCACCCTAGATATCCCTGCCAGCCCCCCACAAAGAGGACAAAGATGTTGGTTTTCTAGGAGAGAGTCAATGGCCACCCCAAGTCCAGGACCAGCCCATTGATGTGCTGGTGGATGATGGTGGGTGGAGTCTGGCAGGTGCTGGCCTCAGGCGCTGCCCCAGCCTTCTTGAGGTGGGCATGTCCTATCCCTGAGCTGGCTGTGGCTGTGTCCCAGCTGGGGGCTGCTGGCCAACCTTTTAGCCCTGTGACTTTTTGAGCCCTGTAGTCCCGCAGAGGTAAACCCTGGTGATTCTCGAGAAGGCCTGGGGTGTACGTGGGCTGAGTCAGTGCAGGAGATCCACATCCTAGGGCAGAGCCAAACCCTCCCAGCCAGAGTCAGGCTCTCCACTCTGGATGTGGCTGCACAGGTGCCTGAAGATGGGCCCCACAGCTCTAGGGCAAGCAGAGCACACTCGGAGCTGTCTGCCCACGCTGCTGAGCTCTGGCATCAGGGTCAGAAGCCAGAGCCCAGGGTTGGAAGGGGACACCGAACTTGGGAATTCCCCTGCTGGGGGTGCTGCAGGAAAGCTGGAGGTAAGGCAGGCTGTCCTCCTGCTCCGTGCCAGCAGTGATGTGCTCAGGCTGCTGCTGCCCTGCCATGCTGCGGCCCTACCAGTCAGGAGAGGGCCGAGGGGTGCCCAGCGCCAGCCCCTAGTTCCTTGCTGCAGCTGGTGTGCAAATGGGTCTGGGCTTGTGTGCAAGAAGGTACCAGGCAAGAAATTGAGTCAGTTCCTGCCAGGGGCGATCAAGGGCCCTTCCAAGAACTTGGGGCCAGCACAGCTGTCAGAGCAGGAGCCTGAGTCACCTCC